ACAGCCACCGCTTTCTGACACTCTGTGCCAAGCTTTGCTCCCCTGATTCAAAGCCTCCCAGAGGCTTCATGCTGTGCTCAAATGAAAGCTGAGACCCTCCACCAGGCCTTCTCAGCCCTCAGGGCCTCATCTCTTCCTGCCTTGCTGACCCTTCTCCCCCCACCCCCCACCATCAGGCCAGCACTTCAGCAGCAGCTCTCCAGTCCTCAAGCACATGAAGCTCCATCCCACCAGAGGACCTCTGCACCAGTGGCCCCTCCCTGCAATGCTCTTCCCCATCTTCAAATGCCCACTTTCATGCATGTCTCACCCTAAAAGCACCCCATTCCTAAGGGTCTCTGCTGACCGTCCACTGCAGCTGCACCCAGCCTTCACCCCTCAGCACTGTTCTTTTCTCCACACCTGTGCACTACTGCACTACCCTCTGATGGTTCCTGGAGTAGTGAATGAGAGTGTGCGAGCATGTGTGTGTCCGTCTGCCTGCCAAGACTCCCCACACTAGAATGTCAGCTCCTTGAGGGCAAGACCTCTGGGGGGTCTGGCACCTCATCTCCCCCAGGTAACTACAACCACTGCAGATGCTCAATAAATACTGGTTGAATGAATGAACTTTATGTAAATTACCTCCTACCTTCACAGCTGATGAGACAGGGAGGCCAAGTCACCTGCTGAGAGTTGATCACACAATGAGTAGCACTCGGCCCAGATCGCACCAAGGACTGACTCCAAGGCTGCACCTGCCTCCTCCTGTTGTCATGGGCCCCTGCGAGCTGCCCTCCAGCCACAAACACTGAGAAGGCTTCTACACACTGTCATCACTTTCAGGGTGTACAGCCCCACACCTTTGTTATGCCCTCCTCCCCCACCCCAAAAACAACCTCCCCTCCCCACCTCTATTCCCCAAATGCTCTCGATCTTAAAGCCCAGACTGAATGCTCACTCAGGCGAGCTGGAACATGACTGCGCACCAGGGCCCACTCCTTGAAGGGAAGGGCAATACTTTTTGTTTCTAGTGTCTGAATACTCCTGCATGCCAGAGCTGAGTGCACGCACCATATGCCCTCAAAGTCCCCACTGCTGCATGGCAGTCACTCGCCAGTCCTCAGGAAATGGCATGTTTTGCATACTGCCAAATCATACTACAATTCACTAGACATGTGATAAACACGAGTGTCATTTTCTCAGGCTTCAAAGCAGGCAGTTTTTGTATGAGTAAATATTGAGTCAATGCTAAGAGTAGAATGAGCTGTTAAATTCTATTTGCTACTTTCATCCCCAGGCTCATACCAGAGCACAAGCTAAACAAAGAAAAACAGCACTCTGCTGGATGGAATGATATGCAGCAGGTAGAATCATTTCTGCACACACTTCTCACATCAGTGATTTGCTTCTCCAACATTGGCAAATATTTGCCACTTATGTCTTTTATGTAACGTGAAGATAGTATATTCCACTGTCTTCAGAGCTATCTTAAATGCCTTATAAAAACAGGCAATTTACTGGCTATGTTTTCTTTTGCCACTAAATACAAACCCAGTAATTGCCTAACTACGAAAGCTCTGGTTTTAGATGTTTTGTTTTAGATTTAATATTTAAATAGAATTCTAAAGAAAGAAAAACCCCATAATCCCACCAACCTAGTGAAAAGATTTTGATTTTTACATACTAACCTTTTAATCTATCCATACAAATTCACATTTTCCCCCAAGTCTTTAAGTATGATTTTAATTTCCAAAAGTCACTCCAATGACAAAGTCCACAGAAGATTCTAGCTCACTGCTCAGACCTGACCCAAAAAAGGATCCCGTCAAGCAAGTCTTGTGTCCCTGAACTCTCTCCTTGCCACTTGCCTACTGCTAGAAACCACTGAGCACAACCAATAAAACATCTGTAAACTACCTAGACTTATCAAAGATCGCAAAAGTGACCACATGTCAGGATTATAAAAATCAAGTTACAAGATAAATAGGCCAATACAAATGAAAATACTACCAATAAAAATAACTAACACTTTTGAGTGTGTATTATGTGCTAGGCATTCTCCTAAGCATTTTATACGTGTTATCTCACTCTGCAGAGTCAGTGCTGCTACCATCATGCCCATCACACGAACAAGGACACTGAGGCACGGGACCAATACCAAGCTTGCTCCAGGTCACGCAGTGAGTGGGTGGTGGTGACAGCTCTCCACGCAGGCCACCCCCGTCCAGAGCCCACTCTCACAGGCGCTATGTGAGTCTGCCTCCGTGCACTGCCTCAGAGGTATCTGGATCCAGCAGAAAAGGTGTACGGAGGTACGAGAAAGAAAAGTGGCTAAGAGATGTGCTTGAATACAAGACTGCACTCCTCTAAGCATGACTGGCCTTTATTTCCTATCTCGATAGAAGAGGCTTCCACCCACCCCATTCTGAAGCCAAAATCACAAGAGCCATCCGCCATTCTGCCCTCTCTCCCCACCCGTATCTACAGAGGCTCTATGAGTGTGATCATCACAGGATGAGGTTCACATGCCTCCAGAAAAGTTCTCAGGTTGTATCTAATAATAGAAAATTAGGAATAACCTACATGCCCATCAGTAGTGGCTGGTGAAAAAAATTACGGGGCACCCATAAAAAGGCATGCTATGAGCTACAAAGACGAAGGCAGTTCTCTATGTACTATTATGGAAAAATATATAGTTAAATTCAAAAAGTAAGGCGCAGGTGGCCAGTTAGTTCAGTTGGTTAAAGCGTGGTGTTGGTAACACCAAGGACCAGGGTTCAATCCCTGTTACCAGCCTGCTGCCAAAAAAAAAAAAAGAGTACTTTAAAAAAAAAAAAAGCAAGCCACAGAACAGTGTTAGCATTCATTGCAGAAAAAGAAAATATGCCGTATGAATGCACAGACTCCAAAGTGTCTCTTTACAAATAACTGCTTAATTATCAGAGGAAAAACAGTAACTTTCCAGTGGAAAGAATGGGCAGACACTACTGTAACCGAGTCATGAGAATAAGCACCCTCTATGTCGGGACAAAGCCACGCCATGTGCCTCCTGCTATGATGGCTGAGAACATAAACCCCTACTAACCCACACCTCACCGTGAGAAAATATCAGATAAATGCAACCAAGAAACATCCTGCACAATAACTGGCCTGCGCTCTTCAGATATGTCAAAATCAAAAACACCAAGAAACTGTGAGTGACTCATCCAGGTTAATGGTGACCACAGAGATGTGACTACTCAACAGAATGCATAGTCCCACTTGAATCCAGGACTAGGAAAAAGAGGTATGATGGACACTGTTGGGACAACCAGCAAAATGTGAATATGGATTGTGGATTTTATAATATTACTATTACTAAAATAGCATTGAGTCAGCGTTAAATTTCCAGACTTTGACAACTGTACTGTGTTTATACTGAGAGGATGTCTTTGCTGTAAGGAAACACACAGTGAAGCTCTTAGGAGGAAAGGGATATATCTCCAATTAGGTCTCTAACAGTTCAGGAGAATACACGTACACACACAAACACACACACACACAAAACGTAAATGGGCAACATGTAAACAACCCACAACTCTATATAGGAGTTGCTCACACTGTTCTTGCAACGTCTGTAAATTTGAAATTATATCAAAATAAAACACGTAAAACATCTGCATAGGCCATCTCTGGAAGGAGACACCTCGGACAGTAAAAAGGGAGGGAAAACAGAGGCTGAGCACGAGGAAGTGGACCCATTTCACTGTACTCTCTTTTGTGCTTCGCAATCTTGCAACACGTCCACGTATTACATGTTCAAAAAAATAAATAAAACCAAAGTGGAAAAAAAAACCACCATGAGACCTGCACTCAGCACTAGAGCTGTATCTTACTGGCTACAAGACCTTTCAACAGCTGCCTGGCCCGGCCTCAGGCTTCTCTGACAACCGCTCCTGCATGAACCCTCCTGCTCAGCTGCCGCCTCCTGAGCAGGAATCGCACCTGCTCTGTGCGGTCCATCCACGTGCCCCACGCGCCACCTCCTGGCCCAGCTGGGCCTTGCACCTCCCGGCTCTCCCAGCCCTCAGAGCAGAGCTCTGGAACCGCCCATAACTGTTTACGTTTGCCACCCCTCCCCGCCTCCTCCCACCCCCCTCCCCACCACCAACTATGAGTGCTCTCATGGCCAATGCAGCATCCCAATCCTCCTCAAAGCCCAGCATCTAGCCAACATCAGGCTCAGAGTGACCCTCAACAACAATGACTGGGAATTCTGTCACACGGACCTGAAGGCAAGTGTGTGCCTCAAATCCCAGCCAGGGAGTACCCACAGTCCTGCGAGTGACTCGGAGAACCGCCCTGGTGGCTGTGCTCTCCCCAGCAGGCCTGTCCCCATCCGGGCCTTGCCTTGGCCCTCCTGCAGTGCTCACAGCCTGTCACCCTCCACGCTGCCCCCAGCCCCGTGCAAGAAAGTGCAATGTCAGTAGGTCCACAGGGTGGCCATCAGCCCTGTCCCCCAGGAGCCACCATTTTCAGGACTCTATGAAGAGCGGGGACAGCCCGGCCTCAAAGAGTTCACCGACCCGGGCCTTGCCTTGGCCCTCCTGCAGTGCTCACAGCCTGTCACCCTCCACGCTGCCCCTAGCCCCGTGCAAGAAAGTGCAACGTCAGTAGGTCCACAGGGTGGCCATCAGCCCTGTCCCCCACGAGCCACCATTTTCAGGACTCTATGAAGAGCGGGGACAGCCCGGCCTCAAAGAGTTCACCGAGGGCAGCACTCAGAAAGAGTGCACTTAGGGAACTGAGGAAAAAAGAACAGAAAATACCTTACCAAACTGCACTGGAAATACATTAACAAGGCATGTCTAAAGGAAACTATCCATACAAATTACTACTATCTTCATGACTTACCAGCATGAAAATACAACCACACCAACTTCCACAAGTGCGATTACAAGTGGAGGTGCTCGTGTCACAGCAGCACACACAGTCCCTCAAGAATGCAATCTGTTTTAGAAACAGCAAGAAACACCCACTCATGTCTTCCGAGCTGCTGGGCACTTACCAAGGTCTGTGTTGGGGCCGGCAAGCAGCTGCCTGAACTTGTCGAGCCGGGAGGCCTCTCTCTCACTCAACGCGGAGCTGCTGAGGGTGCTCAGGTCTGACGTCACACCCAGTGTGACAGTGGCCGAGTGCGGGAGAGACTGGGACCTCTGCAGAGGGACAGCATCACTGGTACTTTCTGCAGAGGGTGAAAGAACAGGGGATGGGTGAGGGCACGCCTCCTGAGTGCACGGTCTGCCTTCATTCAGGACGGCCTCACGCTTGCTGTGCCACTGTCCCTGTGTATACGCTGTTGGGTCCCAACTGTCCCTTCCTCCCACCATGAAGCAGTGGGGAACCTGGTTTCTTGACCAATAAAATGGAAGTGACACCTATGGAACTCACCTGCGTCACTGGCCAAGTATTATTCATCAATAAAATAAACATCCCTACACAAAAGCAACATAACAACAGCCAGGGAAATCCAGACCACCTCAGGGTGTGTTGGTGCTCAGACTCCCAGCAGTGCCTGGGACAGCAGATGAGGCCTGCCCAGGTGACAGGACCCCATGGATCTGCTGAGGAGGGTGCTTGCGAGGTTTACCCAGGCCTGAGCATGGGGGCAAGCCCACAAGTCACTCATGAAGGGCAAGGACAAGGCCTACAAAGGCAGTGAGGACCAGGAGACAAAGGCCAGGACACTCCAGTGACCAGGATGCTCCCATAGCACCCACCTGCTGTCTCTGGAGCATGTCTGCCTCCACTGCCTGCCTGACCCTCCCTAGATCTCACCTCAGCCCCAGAGGGAGGAGATCAGGTAGGGAGACAGGCATGTGAAGGATGGTACCTGCCCAGACCCGCCATGGGCAGTGACCAAGGTGGCACTGGTGTACAAGTTTGCCCACTCCCTGCCCAGTGTGCCCGCTGCTACTGCACACAAAGGTCCCACAGACCCCCTTGATCCATGGGCCCATGGGGACCCGATGGGGGGAGGTGACAGAGCACGTTACACCCAGGACCGGGGACAGCCAAAGGGAAGATCCAAAGGCCCGCAGGTCACTCAACGCAGAGCCAGTAGGGACCAACAAGCAGAGGCTCTGAAAGGCTCTGAACTCCTGGGTCTAAATCCACCCAACAAGCTCATCTTTCAAAAACTGAAAACTGGAGTGAAAACTAAACTCCAGGAAATGGAGCAAGGAGCAAGTGCTGCAGAGCCGGCACGCACTTCAGGCAGCTGTGGCTGAGCTCAGGTGGGCGAGAGCACCACTCCCCCAGCTCCTCCCTCCACAGCCGGCCACATTCCTGCAATCGGGATGGGAGAGGCTTCTGAAAGAAACCCTCAGGCTACCCGAGAGCAAGGCAACCTATGGCCTTGGGCAGAAACTGGCCCAGTTAAATCTCCAGAGAAGCCTGCTGCAGTGGGGGCACAGATGTCCCCGTCTCCCTTCCCCCCACCAGGTGGCCTCAGCTCAGGCAAGGCTTGCTCACACAGTGAGGCGGGGCCAGGAGTGGTGACACTCAGAGCTCCTTTTTCCCCCCGTTTAGAGTCCATTGCTTCACCTGCATTTACAGTTCTACAGGAAAAACACTCAGCAAGCAGAGCAGCTCTTCGCTGTGTCCTGCAATTAAAAGTGCTCAACTTGATTACCTGCGATCTTTAGAGATGAGTGATGTGACTTCATCATGACACCAAAGGGTCCCTCACCCCACTCAGGTGAGGCAGGTGGAGGTAGAGCGACAGTGATATCACCCAAGGAAACAAGAAGACTGACCACCAGGTCTCCCTGTCACCATGAGCAGAAAGCACATCAGTGTCCAACCCCCAGGACCCCACAAAGTGTGACATAACCACACCAGCCAGCATCCACACAAGACCCCACTTGCAGCTTGGTCATGGTCAGCTATAGGGACAGCCCTCATCCAGCCCACTACCCACTGAGCAGGGGCCTCCAGAGCCCATTCCAGCTAAAGATGTGCTTTTGCCATTAACCCAAATGTCACTAAATAAGCAAAGTGCATGTGACCTTGCGTATGATGGTGATAGATTTCCAAGGTATTTATTAAGAAAGTCAGGACAGCCAAAAGGTGAAGAACAGGCACAGGGAAGGCTAGCCCACAACCCACCCAACTGCACTGCACTGAATTTCCAGCCTACCTACCCAGGGCTGAAGGTCAAGGTGGGCGACAGCAGGCTACAGGCACTCACAGGGTGACCTCCAGCTCCCCAGGGCACAAATGCTCACATGAACGTAAATGTTCGGAGTGGCACATCCATACAGCAGAAAAGCTGAACTGTGCCCCATGACACAGAACATTCTAGGATGTTTAGAACTACAAAACACAATTCTAACATGAGCAGCAATGACAATCATACTCTAGTATTAGGAGCAGTAAAGTGAAATGGGACATACAGGTCAATCGCCTGAGCAGAGTGGCCCTCATCCCCGGGCACAGAATGTGACAGTGCTTTGGGAGCAAGCACAGGGAAGAGCCACGTGGTCACCAGGCCCTGAGCAGAACTGCATCCACCTCAACAACATTTATGCAACTACACGGGACACCACAGAGAAACAGACAACTGGGGACACAGCCCCTCTCTTCAGGAAACTTGCAAAGGTTGCAGATGAAGCATGAGGACAGACCGGAAGACAGTACCTCCCCTCCGCCAAGATGGTCTTAACCTTCTAACCCAGGAGACCCCACAGACATCCCCCCCACCTGAAGCCTTTGCTGACCTGAAACTTGACCCCCCTCAACAAGACAATATGGAAGCTGAGTCCCTGGAAGCTTCTGGATCCTGTCCACAAACTTGCAAAGGTTGCAGATGAAGCATGAGGACAGACCGGAAGACAGTACCTCCCCTCCGCCGAGATGGTCTTAACCTTCTAACCCAGGAGACCCCACAGACATCCCCCCCACCTGAAGCCTTTGCTGACCTGAAACCTGACCCCCCTCAACAAGACAATATGGAAGCTGAGTCCCTGGAAGCTTCTGGATCCTGTCCACTCATTTACTCATCTGTCTCCCACTAGACTGCCGGTGAGCCTCCCCCGTGCCACAACCTGAGGGAGTGAGAACAGAGATGTGTCCATCTTCATGCCACCACCAAGCAAACTGTCCGGTGACTGATGGAAGGCCAAGTCGACATCTGGGGCTGGATCACGCTCTGTGGCGGGTGCAGGCTATCCTCGGCACTGTGGGATGTTGAGCAGTATCTCTGGCTTTACCTACTACCTGCCAGTGACACATACACAAAACTGCCCCAAGATATTGCCACATGTCCCCAGGGGCAAAATCATCCCGACTGAGAACCCCTGCTCTATTCAGGAAGGCAGGGCTAACCGCAAGGGCTCTGGAGTCAGATGCTCTGGGTTTGAACCCAGCCCCACCACTCAGGGTGCGGCTCTCTGCAAGCCACCTGCTTCTTCTCTGAACCTCACCTGTGCAACAGGAGTAACAACAAGTCTTTCCTCCCAGTGTTTTGCAGAGTTTAATGAGTTCCTTATCACAAGGGCTTGCTACACTACTTGCCACATAGTAACTGATCAATAAATGCTATTATTATCATTAAAATATCAAAGTACTCAAAAGAGGCTTGCCCTGAAAGCAAACACAGAAACAACTCCAAAACAGGTACAGGCACAAGGCAACGAGGTCACAGGACCCCTTCTCCCAGCCACAAGCTGCCTGGACTGTCCCTCGCCCTGCTCTTTCGGGAGGCAGCCATCCCAAGGTGACATCTCATGGCTCCCCAACCCTGGCCAGATACACCTGTGCTTCCCCTGGTCAGGATCTACCAACCATACACAACATGGCCCTGACACTCTTGACCCAGGCAATCCCCTGCATCCAGGGTGCTGAGGACCACCGCCAGCAATGGTGGACATGCTCTCCAGGGCTCGCAGAGTTTCATCAGCATCCCTGCCAACACCAGGAGTCTGTACAGGCTGAGGGCACAACCATACACAACACGGCCCTGACACTCTTGACCCAGGCAATCCCCTGCATCCAGGGTGCTGAGGACCACCACCAGCAATGGTGGACATGCTCTTCAGGGCTCGCAGAGTTTCATCAGCATCCCTGCCAACACCAGGAGTCTGTACAGGCTGAGGGCATGCTGCCCAGGACTGAGCATACAGGAGGTGGCAAGTGTGTGCTTTAGTCAGTCACCACAGCTTTCAATCCACCTCCAACCAATTTCCATTTATAAGTTCAAATACCTTAAAATTTAGTAGATTTCAACATGAAAACTAATCAAATGAAATAATTCATAGCATGCTTATCTAAAGAGACATGTTACATTTTAGAAGTTAGCCAATTACTAGAAAGGGTTTTTGAAAACTAGGCATAGGCGTGAAACCTAGTTCCGCATCTACTAGTGGGGCAAGCGTGACAATCCCCACGTTCTCATCTATAACGTGGGAGGGCACCCAGGTCTCCGGAAGACCAGGGAAAGCGCTATCAATGAGAGCCTGTTCTTGCTCTCTGGCTGCTCCCCTACACCTCACTCATGGTGCACTCAAGGGCCACCTTCTCAGTGGTGATGCCCTCATCTCTGACCTCCCAATTGAAGACTATAGTCTACCCCTACCCTGCTCTCATGATCACACACATCGATTTTGACCCATCCCATTTGCTGCCTTCCCGTTCACTCCATGTCCATCTCTTGGTTGTGTGCACATCAGCCTCAGTCCCCTCACTGGAACAGACTTCCCAAAGGGCAAGGACTTACATCTGGTTTGTCCAGGGGCATTCCAAGCACTGAAAACAGCATCTGTCCCATCACAGACATGCATGAAATAACTGTGTGGCTTTACATCACAGACATACCCCATCTCCAATATATACAGATCAAAAAAGTATGGCAACAATCTCAGGAACAGCCACTGAGTGTCAGGAACAAAGGACATAAGCCGCAGACATAATTCTACGCTTGCGGGGGTTAAAACCTGAGCATGGCTATTCCAAAAGTCAGACTCTCACCCCTTACAGACCCTGAGCCCACCTGGATGGGTCCCTGGAAGGAATCACCATAAGCTGCCTGAGGAGGTCCAGCCCTGAACATGCAGTTGGCCTGAGCCCTCAGCTGGAAATGTCACCCCCAGAGCCACCAGCTGCCCCAAGAGCTGGCGTACTCAGGAGGGAGACAGGGTCCCCCAAACCCTTGTGCTCACCACAGCCCCCTCACAACCAGCCCACAAAAGTCACATGCCCTCCACTCCATCAGAAGGAGATGCGTGCTGCTAGAAGGACAGAAGAAAAGCATGGCAGGAACTCAAGGGAAGAGTGCAGGCTGCTGCCCCTGCCTGGGACACTGCGGCCACTGGGAAGATGACCTGTCCTGGGCCCTGAGCCCTACAGCACATGAGACTGGGGTCCCCTTGGTCCCCCACGATGAAAGGACTCTGCCCCCTTTCTTGGCTCTGCCCAAACCACCTCTTCAGTCCTCCCTGTCCTACCTGCAGGACAGGACGTGTGGCTCTCGCTGACGGACTTCACCAGACGGAGGTCTCCACCCGGGGCTGACAGTGGCTCTGCCACAGGGCTCGGCCTCTGCTCGGGGCCTGGTGCCTCCTGCAGGGTGTGCTGCCCCTGCCGCTGGCTGTGGTTACGAAGGACACGGTGGGCCGTCTCCATGACCACCTCTGTGTTCAGGCTCTCCGCCGCCATGGCCAGGAGTTCATCATCGTCCTCGCCTGCATCCCAGGCATCGCTGGTGTTGCTCTCAAACTCCTGGAAGGTGCTGACCCTCTTGGCCTTCACTGGGGTGGTTGGTACCTTGGGCATGGACTTGAGCAAGCTGCAAAGCAAAGGTAGTCTTTACTATTACACGCTCGGGGCTGAAGAGTATTCACCCCAAAACTGGCCAGAAAGGAGTCCCCAGATGACTCACATAAAAGTTTTCAACTTCAGTCTAGCCGACAGTGAAGTGAAAAAGCAGACACAATTCAGAGACATTCAAACTAAGGCTGGGCGAAGCTCATGAGGATACAGTGATGGGGAGGAGGGCAGAGGGAGAGGCAGGCCAAGCAGCCTCCACCACCTGACGTACCGATCCATGAGGAGGCACGGCTGCATGTAATGGCACTCCAAACTCACCTTGGCCAGTGCCTGCAAACACATTCTCACAATCCCAGCATCTCAGCAAAGCCACTACAGCATCAGGTGAGTGATGTGGGACCAGAGAGACCGTGCAGAGAACACAGGCCTTTCATAGATGGATTTGAAGACATTATAACCCCACATATGACAACATACAACACGGCCCACTGAGTGTCAGGAAGTTGGTCGGGCAGACACAGTCCTGCAGGGCCTCGCCAGCACAAGGCCCAGTCCCACACCTCTCTCTGCTGCCTACTCTGGCACAGGCGCCAGGACATGGGGCAGATCAAGTCTCGAGCAGCTGGGCCGAGAATATGGTCACAAGGAAGGGAGATCCGCAACCTGCAGGCATGCCAGAACAGCTGCCCACTGGCTCAGGGCACCAGCCCCCTGCTCTCTGGCGTGGGTCCCCCACATGAAGCTGTGGTGTCCACATCCACCTTCCCCAACAGAGGAGGAGCTATGCAAGGCCAGCAGTGCTCACACAAAGCAACGGCTTGATCCGGGTCAGCCGATGAGGAACCACTTTCCTCTCCCTTGGGAATTCCAGGGAGCTGGAGGGAAGCAGAAGGACAGCAGTTGCCACGGCCTCCTCCCATCAGGGCCAGGAAGCCGAGGGAGTTAACACTCCACTTACGTGCCGTGCAGCAGGGGATCGAAAGGGGGATGCTGGGCTCCGTACACATGCTGGATGCTATTTAAAAAGAAAGGAAAACCAATTAGCTTTTCTTCAACTGTCCCAAGAGCCCACCACTGACCCAGCTCCTAGTGACCCACACAACTGAGGAAAGCCAACTCTCCCTGAGCTGCCAAAGTGCCACTGAGGGTCCTGAGGGGGATGAAAGGTGCCACACAGGTGCAACCCCACACACAAGCAGGACAATCCGCCCTCCCTGGGAATGGGCCTCAGGGCAGGGAGCTGCACCCGAAAGCAGCCCCACAGAGCCTCAGGCTTCCACCACAAGCCCAGTGAGGGGACTGTGACCACTGCCCACGGGCCACATTTCGGACAGGACTGAAAACTGATGAAGAGATGCCTATCGGGGACTCTCATCTAGCACCACTTTGTCTGAAGATCAAATGGAGAATTTCAAAAAGAAGATGAATACAATTTTTTAAAAAGATTTATTGGTTTTATTATAAAAGTCTTCCAAAATACCCGACTTGGCAGACACTGTTTGTCAGCTGAGCCCCTTCTCCTTGGCTGACTTCAGCCAGGATGGCCATGTGACACGGTACAGGCCAGTGAGAAATACATGGAGACTTTTACTTTTCTAACAAAAAAGACAGGCTTGGCCAGCACCCCTCTAGTCCTTCGCCCCCTCTTCTTCCACCTGGCACCAAGAGGTGAGGCCTGGGAACCTCATCATCTTGCAAGCATGAGAAGTAGCATAGGAAATAAAGCCACCATGAAAGCCTGCAGGGCAGAAACACAGGACAGAGCACGGTCTGTGGCGGCTCTGTGAAGCTGCCAGTCCAACCCCGGATCACCTCAGCCTCCCACATACTTGCATGGAATAAACATGAAACAAAAAAGTCCCTATTTGTGAAGCCACTACTGTCATACATCTTAACTGACAGGGTCCACATGGAAGAGATAACCACAGTGACATTTTCATGCAGTACCTTGTGGGGGTGTGTATGTAAAGATAAACACAGATAAAGAGATATTTAGACGAATGTTTTCATTTTTAAAAACAGAATGAAATCTTACTTTCTTTATTTAGTAATAGACTGTGGCTATTTCCCCATATCACTACTTAATTCTTTTTCAATTCACTTAAGTAATTTATTTACTTTATATGTACTGTTTGATAAATAAAAAGAAAATATGCTGTACATGTAAATTTAAACACGAGGTGAAGAGCACAGATGCTCCTTGACTTACGTGGGGTTATATCCTGATAAGATATTTTCAACTTATGACAGGTTTGAGTAAAAAATGCGTTGAATACGTCTAACCTACTGAGAATCACAGCTTAGCCCAGCCCACCTTAATCATGCTCAGGACACTTACACTAGCCCACAGTGGGGCAAAAGCATCTAACATGAAGCCTACTTCACAGAAAAGTGTGGGACATCCCATTTACTGAGTACTACACTCGAGGTGAGAAACAGAGTGGTCACGCGGGCACTGGAAGTGTGGGTTCCACTCAACATGCACTGCTTTCACACCATCACAAAGTCAAAATATCATAAGTGAAACCATCATACCATAATTTGGTGACCATATGTACATGGTTCTTTCTCTACAATTCCTCGTAAATCTACAATTATTTCCAAATTTAAAAAAAGTTTTTAAAAACCATAATAGAATGAGCACCAGTGAACATGGGCCGCTAATTAGAACATCACTTCTAATGTCACACTGTCCCACCATATGGCTACAGCATAGTTTGTTTAACCAACATTGACTGTGAGACATTTAACTCACTTAAAATTGTTTGTGGCTACAAAAAAAATCCATAAATATCTCTGAAGACAAATACTTGCCAACACCATGGTGACCCCTTGAGAATAAACTCCTGGAAATGGAACGGACAGATGTAGAGCATGAATGTAAAAAAGGCTGTTGGTAGGGCCAAGCCCGTGGCGCACTCAGGAGAGTGCGGCGCTGGGAGCGCAGCAGCGCTCCCGCCGCGGGTTCGGATCCTATATAGGCATGACCGGTGTGCTCACAGCGCTCACTGGCTGAGCATGGTGCGGCCGGTCTCAAAAAGGACAAAAAAAAAAAAAAAAAAAGGCTGTTGGTACACACTGCCAAAGAGTGCTGGTCCTATTCCCACCAGCAGCACCTGAGCGACCACACTGCTGCTAACTTGATAGGAGAAGAGAAGTCTCAATGTTGGTGGTGTTTCTCTCGATTACCAGTGAGGTTGAACCATTTATTTTTTAATTTTGTTCACTGCACCTCTTTTTGTAAATTGTCTGTTCATACCCTTTGTGCTTTTTCTTACTGATCTGTAAAAACCTCATTGTAAAGAGAAGATTCCTTCTTGGTCATTCAGGCCGTGTGGTCGGCAAAATAACGGCCCCACCAAAAATGGTCCTGTCCTAATGCCCAGAACCTGTGAATGTGTCACCTTACATGGCAAAGGGAACTCTGCAGATGTTATTAAGAATACAGACTTTGAGATCTAAGATTATCCTGAGTTGTCCACGTGGGCCCAATCTAATTATGAGTACTTAAAAGCACAGAACTTTCCCAGCTATCGTCAGAGGAAGACCTGACTATGAAAAAGGTCAGAGAGATGCAACATTGCTGGCTTTGAAGACTGAGAAACAGGGCCACCAGCCAGGGAATATGGGCAGCCTCTGAAAACCAGAGAGTTTAAGGAAACGGTTCTCTCCTAGAGCCTCCAGCCCTGCTCACACCTTGATTTTAGCCTGGGAGACCCGTGTCACTCTTATGACCTCCAGAGCCCTAAGATAATACATTTGTGTTGCTGTAAACCAATAAGTTTGGGGTGATTCATTAGAGCAGCAATAGAAATCTAATGCAAGTGACAAATCTGTTTTCCTGATCATGGGAGACTAAGTCAATCATTTTGGTTATCCTTTATGTATGATTCTACTTTGAGGATTATACTTGGAAAGGCCCATCCCTTCCGAGCCTGCATAAATGTTCAACTATGTGTTATTTCCATACTTCTATGGCTTCGTTTTTTACCCTTAAGTTTTCGATCCATCTAGAATTTATTTTGCTACAGTGTTTAGTAGGAACTTTTCTTAAAATATAATCAATTCTTCCAATGCTACCTATTAAATAACCTCTCTTTTTCCCCATTGGCTTGATGATATCCTCTTTAATATATATTAAAATATTACACTGGCTCACTTTTCAGTTTTCTATTCAGTTGCTAGTCAGCCTTCCATTCCTATGCCTGCAGAACAGTATTTTAATTCTATCAAATATTTAGTTTTATATCCTAAAATTTTTCAGCTCAATTTAACAAATATTTTTTGGATACCAATTCTGTGACAGGACACTAGGGAGGCAAAGATAAGCATAATATAGTCCAAACTATCAAGAACCTTACAGTTTACTGATTAAAGCAAAAAATAAATAGGCATTTATACGTTCTATGATAATTCCTACAATGACATGCCATGGAGTACAAAATCCCAGTCTTAGAAGGAAAGTTCCTTGAGAAAAAACTACTTACACTCAGACCCAAGAAAAGTAGAATACGCAGAAAGTTCCAGCATAAAGAACAGCATGAACTGGACTAGCTGGTTAGCTCGCTTGGTTAGAGTGCAGCCTTATAACCTGAAGGTCATGGGTTCAGATCCCCATACCAGCCAGTTACAAAAAACATAAATAAAAGTCGGAGTTCTTAAAATTTAAAAAAAAAAAAGAACAGCATGCAAAAGACCTGAGGGCAAAGGACAGGATGAAATGATTGGGGAAATAAAAGGGCAACTAGGACTGTCACTACAGTGAGCAGAAACATGTGCCAAGTCGGGCCTCCCGTGATGATCCTGGAACCCCAGAACAGAGGGCTCTGGAGCCCAGTCCTACTCCTCACTCTACAGAGCACAGAAACCCAGGGCAGAGAAGGGAATTCAAAAGGGCATGGCCCTTGAAGGCTTTGTTATGATCCGTCCTTCCCAAGAAAGTCCACAAGGAGAATCATATGATTTCAGAAGAAAGTTCTGCACATTTGTAAACACCCAAACTAAACATCATGTTTGTTTCTGCATACACCAGGCTTAGTAAGATACACCCTCAAACTGAAAAAAGAAACCTGAAAGCAAAGCTTTGATCCATCCACTCAACCAGTAAGGACGTGTCCTGGCACTGACACCACAGACACCACCACACCACATGGCATGGACCACAGGGAGGGCACCAGGGGGGATGGGGTTGGATGTTTCTACCAAAGGAATGAAACACATGGAAAAGTGATGGGCCAGCCTGCAGCGAGCATGCCATGTGCCCCCCACTCAACAGCCTCTACATCTGCTCCACGTTCTTGTCTCTTTTTCTATTCGAAATGCTGTAAACAATAAAACCTAGAGAGTGGTCGTAGTAGTTAACAGAGATCTGGCATTATTCTAAACTCTTAACATGTGAACTCCTTTCATCTTCACAACCCAATGAGGCAGATGTGATTATTCCCATTTTAATGAGGGGAAAACTGAGGGATAGAAAGCTTAAGTGACCTGCCCACGTCGCACACATCTATCAGGTTATGAAGCCAGCTTAATGACATGTATTACATAAGGAATAACCACACAAACACCCAGAGATTTAGTTCCACCAAATCCTAACATTTCATCTTACAAAAGAGTTGAAACCCCACCAGTTCTATTTCTCCACCTGCCTCCTCGGAGGTGACTGCTAACCTGTATTTGATGTTTATATTCCCATGGAAGTGTTTATACTTCTACTGAAGAGTTGCAGATCTCTAGGCAATATATAGCATTATTCTGCACATCTGTAAAATTTATATCAATATTATCACTTTATATATATATATATATATATATATATATATATGTACCTTTCATGACTTTATTTTCTGTCAAGATTTTTCCTTATGGGTCAGTGTAAGCGCACGCAGCTCCAGTTTGCCCTGGGGGCTTCATTGTGTGTGTATGAAAAGGGACACTTTAGCAGTAACCAACTTTTCAAAAGAAATTTTAGACAGAAGTGTAAAGCAGGCAAACATAGAGCTGCTCTGGTGAAGA